TCTGGAGCTACATGATTCTTGTCTGGATCTGGTATAACAACCAGTTCTGCTTTGCTTTCTGCTGTTCCAAATTCATTTTGGATTTTAACCGCATAAACGCCAGTGTCATCTGGTTGTGCGTCTCTGAAAACACACACTCTTTTAGAAAATTTCATGAAAATTGCTGAAAAAATCTCAGAAATTGCAAAACGCGAGAAAAAATTGATAAAGCGCTGGGTAACAACAAACCCAAATAACCAGATACTCACCTAATTTCAAGTTTTGCATTCATACCATCGTATTCTATCTTGAAATCATGAGATGGCCGTAGTGGTTGATCATCTACCAACCATACCAATTCAGGTTCTGGCCATCCTTCTACCTAAACGTATGAATAAACTAGTGAACCAATCAGAAAATGGCTAAACTCCGCCCACCTCGCATTCGAAACTGATCACTTCGCCTTCTTTGCATTCTTGATCCTTTAGTGAATTTACAAATTTCGGTGGTGCAGCCTCTTTTTCTACCTAAATCCATATCCAGCGTATACCTTTTTTATTGAATTTTCTTTGTCGACAATTCCACAAACCTTGAGTACTCGGAAGAAAGCTGATGTTGAGGCTTGACCATATTCGTTCGTTGCCATACATGTATATCGGCCTGTATCTTCAACCTAAAATCAATAAAATCAATGAACATTATTTGTGCTCGGTTCATTAGCTCTAAAATTTCAACTTTATAGATTATTTTCTATACTACATTAGAAAAAAAGGGGATTCGTCAAAGCACCAATGTTTTTTGGAGATCGTGACAATTTTCGAATATTAGCTGGGTTATTTGATTACCTGTACTGGATCAATAGTCATGGCGAAGAAGCCGTCTTCATCAGCGTAGAATGTGTGACGTTCGTCTTCATGTAATTGTACATCATCTTTATACCTGAAGGCCAATTATGTCAGTCAATCAATAAATCAGTAGTTTAGGTACTAAACGAATTTTTCAGTAGTGGTAAAACTGTAACGCTGCAAACATACTGAAATGCTTTTTAACTCTAGATGTCGGTGTAACTTAAGATACGGCGCTTATTAAAGGAATTCCCGAGAACACGTCCCAAACTGACCATGTAATTTCTGGCAATGGATATCCGGTAACTTTTAGGCACATTTTGGCTGAGGACTCTTGTAACGTTCGGAAACCATACTGTGTTCGTGTTACTCGTGTACCTTGCATTTCAAGGGTGGTTCCGGTTGTGGCTGAAATGATTTTTATAAGAAATTTGATGGATGTACAGATATTTAAAATCTTCGAATTAAAAATGTTCTCCGGTACAAATTTCTTATCATATCACTTTGAGAACATTGAAATTATCAAATTCATCTTCCCATATATTATAGAAAAAAAATTCGGAAGAAAAAAAAAGAAATTGCCAATTTGCAATTGTGTAGTAATGATAATGAAGAATTTACTCAATCTCTAAAAAAATGAGTTATTGTCAATAAATAGTCATCCTCAATCACTACTGGCAACACTTAGATGTTTTAAAGTTCATATATCTTAAGATGAATTTACTTTATTTACCAAGACTATGAAAGCTAACACAAATTTATCACTTTTACAGAGAAAAATTGACCACACAACCTCAAATTAATTATTTTATAATTTCTCCAAAATTTTCGTTTTCCCTTATTTTTTTCTCTATAAACTTCTTCCTTCTCCTCTTACATTTTCGCAAATCACGCACGCATTATGGACATTTTGTTACACATCGGGGATAAACATCGTCCTCAAAAACGCTCTTCTCTGAACTGATTGAGGTCATCGATACATTTCCTCTTTAGAAGTTCTTTTTCTCAGAACAATCGATCACGAGCAGGAGTATTGCGATGAGAGCGAGAGACAAAAAAAAGGACTAAATTAAGAAAAGTTCCGACGACTGCACAGAGTTCAAAAAATGGCTCTTTCCAATTGCGACGTGTTCACAAGCGGAAGCCAAATTTTATTTCGTTCAGATAAAAATGATTTACGAAAGAAAAATGCTAGATTATCCAGATGAGCGGAACTTGGGTAAGATATTTAGAATTAATAACTCTCAGTTCAAGACAAAAACTAATATCTTTTACACCTTATGAAATTTCCCATAAATTTACAGAAAGGAAAAGTTGTGAACTTTGTCGAGTCAACAGGAACGTATAATTCAAATAATTTTTAGCACAAAGGCAGATAAGATGAAGGTAACATATTTGAGTAAGTTCATGCTTTCGCTCATTATTATCAAAAACTCAGCAACTTTTTCAAAAAAAGAAAGAAAAGAAGATGGGTAATTGGCTATTTGTATCCAATAAAGTATTCTATATGAGAAGATTATTCATTGAAAGTAGTTTAAAAGTATTTTGCACATAAAGTGCATAACTCTTCGATTTTTCTTTGCAAATCATTCAAAAATTGGACATTAGATATCATTAAAAATCGACAAGTTTATTATATATGAGAAAAACGTCTAGCTATTAAATATTTACAAAATTCCTAAGCACTGCTCGCTCTTATACCGCCTAAAATTCTCATATGTTCTCACTAATTGTTTCCCCGTTCAGAACCCAAAATTACTCTAATATAGTCCCAGCAGAACAACTTCGTCCTTTCTTCTCCACTTAAGTGGCGCCTATGAAACAGGAATTTTTATTTCTAATCCTTTTCAAAGAGCCC